CCTCCTCTTCCTCCTCCTCCTCCCCCTCCTAGCCTTTCTGCTCTCAGGTTTTGAGAGTTGCGGACGCGTACTTCAGAGAGGCGCCGCGTTCGCGAGCCAAGCTTTCCCCTGTCCACTGCTTTCGCTGTCGTGGATGGGGCCCGATGTGCTTCCAGGGCCGCATCTCCCCCTCTGGGGGTGTGGCAAGTGCGGGGCATTTGACAACTGGGCAAGCAGAGTCAAGTGCCGAGGATGTGGAAATTCCTGCCCCCAACGTGTGCTCGTGGCGGCCCAAGCAGCTGCCAACCGCGCCAAGGGAGGTGGAAAGGGGAGCCCAGCTGCTGCCACTGGAGGGAAGGGGCGATGGGCCAATGGCCCGCCTGGAGGTCCAGGCGACGCCCAGGCCAAGACCATCCAGGCCATGCAGAAGCAGTTGGACGCCCTGCTCAAAGACAAGGAGAAGGACACCAAGCAGCAGGTTCAGTCCGCCCCTCCAGGTGGTGGCGGCGGCAGTGGCAACGGTGGCCCGTCGTTCAAGGAGGTTCTCAACTTCCTGCAGGCAAAGGGCATACAGGGCGAGCTGGTGGCCTCGGTCACAGCTGCGCAGCAGCGAGAGGTTGCCGAGCACCCACCCTCCGTGGTCACGGCTCGCTGGCGGGTCGAGAACCTGCGAAAGAAGAACGAGAAGTTCGAGCAGCAGCTACGAAAGCTTCAAGAGCGTCGCGCTGCCCTCGATGAGGAAGAGGCAGCCATCAAGGCCTCTGTGGAGTCGATTCGCCGAGACCTGTCACAAGCTGAAGGAGTCTATGCCAAGGTGTCGGCCACGGACCTCGGGGACTTGGTCAAGATCACCGAGGCCGCCTTGGACGAGTCGCTCCACGACGACGCCGAGGTCAGGGCAGCTTTGGCCGTGCTGGACAAGCGCCAGAAGGAAGCAGTGGCCGCTCGTGGCGCTTCTGCTCTGCATTCTGGTGGTCCAGGCCGCAACGCTCCTCCTGGCGGCGAAGCAGATCCAGGAGCTCGCAGTGCCGAAGGTGCGCGAGGAGGTGAAGGCATCCCAGCAGCTGATGGAGATGGAGACGACATTGACATGGAGCTGCTGGGCCAAGACGACATCGACATCGAGGCGCGCACAGAAGACCTCAGGAAGGCCGCGGAGGAGCTCAGGCAAGCTTCCCCAGGAGAAGCTCAGGATGCCGCCAAGCGCAAGTACGCACAGGCTGCCGCTGCCTTGGGGATCAAACGTGCGCGGAGACTTTGACGACCTCGAGCGCTTCTGGGACCACAACGTCGTGGACGTGGATTGGTCGGAGGTGATCGGCTTTGCGGTGCCGTCCCTGCTCCCGCGGCCTGTGCAGGCCCTATCGGGGGCATTGGTTGAGCCGATCTGGCGTCGAGGGGGCTCGACCCAGGCCCGTGCTGGTGAAGCTCTCGACCTCCAGGCTTGGCCTGCGCTGGGGCTGCACGTGGCTCGGCCACGACGGGGCTTCGGCCCGAAGGGCAGGGGGGCAGGGGATTCAGCCCCCGATCGTCGAACCCCCCTGCCCGCATGCACGGGGAGTTCGAGTGCCAGCAGCGGCCCTTCGGCGTCATCGCTATTGCAGGTTCCTGCGGTGGCTCCCCAACTGGCCCGCTCCTCGGGGTTGGGGACACGGACAGCTCAGAGGGCGTCGACATCTATGGCAGCGGGGTCGGCTTCTTCGGCGGCGACGGCTGGTTCTTCGCGTGGCGTTAGGACGCAACAGTCGTCGCCGCCTGCCCTTCCCACCCCCAGGGCACCCCTTCCACAGGAGGCGGGGGTCTCAGCGCGTGGGGAGGGGGGGCAAGATGTTTTGCTGGCGCAGCTGCCAGACGCTGAAGCGAGATTGGCTGGCAGTGTGCGTGGCCACCTTCGTCCCCAAGTTGAGCCAGATGCGGATTCGAAAACTCATTGGTTGAAATCCGACGGGAGGGCGGAAGTACCTCCCGCTCGTAATCTTCTTGCGGGCGATCGTGACTCTGGTGTAGCGTGGGGATCTGCAGACTCGTGCATTTTTGGAGCCAACGTCAACAGCTGGTCTACGGCAGACACTGTAGTGAACTGGGTCCGAGATCAAGCTGACGTCGGAGGATCTGGGGCGGCGTCTTGGGGTTTAGTCCAAAGCAAGTTCCAGGTGGTCACGCTCCAGGAGACAAGGTTGAAGTCCCCCGACAAGATCATCTCGGCCCAGAGTTGGGCCTGCAGGAATGGGTACCAGGTGTCTCTCGGGAAGGCCCTCAGCACTGGCGACGGGCCCTTGCAAAGCTCTGGAGGAGTCGGTATCTTGGTTGCTGGGGAGCTTGCTTCGAGGCCCTTGGATCTTCCAGGTTTGGGCAGGTTCGACGGGAGGATCGTAGGTCGGGTCATCAACGCGGGGTTCGACCAGGGCCTTGAGATCTACAGTGTCTATCTCGTCAACGACATAGGCGTGACGGGCGAGAATTTAGAGATTTTGGAAGTTCTGGGAGCGCTTCTTTTGTGCAGTAAGCGTCCGTGGGTTGTGCAAGGTGATTGGAATTTCACGCCCGCGGCTCTCCAGCTATCAGGTTGGATACAGCATGTGCACGGTGTGCTAGCCGCTTCTGGCCAGGCAACCTGCTCGGCCTGCGCTCCTAGGACTGCCAGGGGAGAAGATATGGAGGAGGAGGAGCTGACGGAGCATGACGGGGGAGGAAGGGAGCTCGACTTCTTCGTCGTGTCATCGGCTATCAGTTCGTGCATCAAAGATGTCCAGGCTATCCGAGGAGCGCCTCTTTTTCCCCATTGCCCTGTGCTGCTTCGGTTGGGGAACCTCTGCCAGACGGCGGTGGTCCAGCAGCAGACGCGTTTCAAGCCGTTCAGCACCGCGCTCATGGGGCCGCTGCCGCAGGAAAGGGACATCCAATGGAGCGACCCTCTAAACTCAGATTTGGACACGCTTGCTCGGGAGTGGTTCGGGGAAGCAGAAGCTCGCCTGGTTGAAATTCATGGAATAAGTGATCTGAAAGGGTACGTTGGTCGCTCCGCTGGGCCCCAGTCTCGGAAAGTTCCCTTAGTTGCGCTGCTAGAGCGAGATCACCGTCGGCGGTTTTCGAAGCAGACTGTCTGCTGGATCTCGTTCGAGGCCCTGCTCAAGAAGGCAAAGGCAATCAGTGCTGGGAGCCCAGGTGCCAAGGGGAGAGCCCTTTTGGGATCCTGGAAGCTTAAGCTGTTCGACATTTTGGAGGACCTCCAGCTGACGGAAGATGGGCCCACAAAGGCCCAGCTGCACACCATTGTTAGGGCGGCATCGGGAGAAGGTTCCTGGAACGACGACGTCAATGGGGCCATCTGCAAAGAGTGCACTCGTCGCCAGAGGCTGGACGCGGCTTCGCAGCTTGCTAAGTGGAAGGAATGGGCCAAGGGTGCCGTCTCTGGAGGTGGTAAAGCGGCTCATGCCTTCTCCAAGCAACAGGTCTCGTGTGGTTTTTCGCGAGGTATGTCGGATGATCCTCGGCTTCCAGTGGCTGGTCAGGCCGCAGTGCAAGAGCTTGTCGATGCGTGGCATCCGATGTGGTTTCGAGCTGGCCGCGGGCCCGCACCGAGCTCCTGGGAAGTTCCTGCCGACGAGCCTGCCCTTTCCCCGCTCAGACTGGAGGATTTACATCGAGTTTGCAAGATGTACGGGCCCGCGGCGGGCCTAGGCTGGGATGGATTTAACCCGAGGTGGGTATTGCAGCTGCCCGAAAGTTACCAGTTTCGGCTTCTGGAGATTTTGACGCTCTTCGAGGTCGACCCTGGGGCCGTCGTGATGTTCCTGACCAATGTGGTTTTCTTGGACAAACCAACGGGAGGGGTCAGGCCGATCGGATTGCTATGCCTTTTCACGAAGCTCTGGAGCCGGTTGAGGCAGCCGCATTGCCGCTCATGGGAAAAGTCCCACGTGTACGAGTTTTTCTGGGGCTCAGGGCCCGACACAACGTGCGAGAGGGCCGGATGGGTCCACAACTTACTCGGGGCGCATTGTCGTAAAGCAGGTTTCGAATCAGCGTCGGCTCTCTTGGACTTGGCTAAGTTCTATGAGAATGTCAACCACGGGGACCTCCTGGCTGCAGCTAAACGGTTTGGTTTCCCAGTTAGGCTGGTCAAAGCGTACTGTACCATCTATGCTGGCTACCGTGTGCTTCTTTACGGGGGAGCTTCGTCGGCCGTCGTCGAATCGAACGGGGCAATCGTGGCTGGGTGCTCGGGGGCTACGACTTTCGCCAAGATGTTGCTACTAGGACCGCTATTGGAGGCCCGTGAGAGCAGGAACTTGTTGTATGTGCGTAATGTGGTGGACGACATCACTGTTCAGTGTTGCGGGCCCAAGCATCAGGTGGCGGCCCAACTGGCTGGTGGAGTAGAGTCTCTGATCAAGAGTTTCAAGCAGCTGCAGCTCCCTGTGGCGTTTAAGAAGTGTGCCTACCTTTGCTCGAAGGAGGTTGAGGCGCACCTGTCCAAGGCCTGGTCCCTCCCCACCTCTTGCCGCACCGACACGGCGAGGAATCTTGGGACCAACGCTACCTTGGGAGGCCTCCGCAGGATCGGTATTCAGAACTCAAGGTTTGCAGGTGCTTCGCGCAGGGCCAGGAGGCTCAAGATACTACAAGGAGCGGGAGCCGACATCGGGATGGTTCACAGGATGGGGCCAGTGGCATCGGCCCTATGGGGATCCTCGGTCTCTGGGGTGGCCCCCACAAAAATGGCTGGGCTCCGTATCGGTGCTGCTAGTTCCCTAGGCAGGCTCCCTAAAGGTGCTTCGGTTGGGCTCAGGTTGTACACGTACGGGCTTGGGGCCAAGGTAGACCCTCTGGTGGTTTACGCGGGGCACGTGCTTTTCATGTGGGCGACTGCTGTTTGGGAAGCTGTCCCTCACGTTCAGGTGTTGGCCAATACCATGAGGGTCTCGATCGCCAAGTTTCAGAATTCAGTTCAGCCCTGGAGGTCAGCGTCTTCCCCCAGCGACGTCGCGCTTTTAACGTTGCGGGGCATAGGCTGGGACTTTGTAGACCAGCACACCATCAAAGATGACTTGAACGTTGTGCATGACTTGCTCAGGCTCTCCCCGATGCAGGTCAGGTCTATGATCAGGCAAGGTGCCGTGCGAGCGTCAGATAGGCATGCCCTTCTCTTGCAGAATGGCCTTGATGGGCCACCTGTTTACCCTATCTTCTGGGATGGCATTTCCAGGATGTTCAAGGAGAAGTCCGAAACCTGGGGGAAGCACCATCAGAGATGTTTAAGAGGTTTGGTCTCGGGAGTTCACTGGCCCCAAGCCCGACTTCATGCTCACAACCTCCACGATGATGATCTTTGTCAAGTGTGCAAGGGGGCCCCAGGTACTTTGTGGCACCGTCAGTACGAGTGCCCTGCGCATGAAGTCCTGCGGCGAGACCATGCGAGTGCTCACTTGTGTAGGTGTGCGCAGAGAGTGAAGCAGTTCGGGCCGCTCATGGCGGAGAGGTTCGCGAGGTGCATCTTTCCTCACCCTCGCTCGCTCTTCGACGTCGAGGAGCCCGCGCAAACAGTTCACTGGCACGAGAGGCCCGAGACGGGGCTATTGACGGGGTTGTTATTCCTGGACGGGTCGGCCAAATACATGGGCCTCGATGGGCTCACTCGGGCTGGTTGGAGTATCGTATCGGTCGACAGGTTTGGGGAGTTGCTCTCGGCGGCCTACGGTCCAGTTCCTATGAGTGCGGCCCCGCAGCAAACTAGTTAAGATGGAGAAGACTATGCTGTATATATGCTTACGCATGTTGGTCTTCCCCCGTTTCAATGCTATATAGATTGCCAGAGCACTCTGGATTCGCTGTCTCGGGGCCCTGGGTTCGCGGAGGGCCCTGGAGCCCCCCGCGGTCATCTTTGGGGCCCCGTGTGGAGCTCGTTCACTCTCAGCGATTTCGAGTGTTTCAAGACGCTCGGCCACGCCACGGCGGCCGATGTCGAGGCTGGCAGGAGCAGTGTTTGGGAAAGACGGGCCAATGGGCTCGCAGATAAGTTCGCCAAACTAGGAGCCGAGTGTCACGGGGTCAGCGACGAAGAGGCCAGCCTGTACAGAGGCCTCAGGTGCCTCGCCCGCGAGGCCTGCAGGTGGGCTGGATCGGTGAGGTGCTGATGTCCAACGGGCCCCGTGACACAACGGGCCTAGTGCCCAGGTCGACAGGCAGCGATGGCCAGGGGCAGCACTCACAAGAGGCTGATGCCCTCGGCCAGGCCCTGGGCGACGATCAAAGGGAGGTGGGAGGTTCTTCGGACTTGGGGGAGGAGTGGCGTTCATTCTCTCGGCAAGTGTTTCGGGCCAACGGCCATGCTTTTTTGGCCAGCCCTGTCATAGAACCTCCTGGAAACCCCAGGGGTAGGATCCAATTTTGTTGTCGGTGCGGATCGTTTTTCTCTGGGGCTCCCAATGCTGGAGCTAAAGGCCTGTGCAGGCCCAAATTCACGACGGGTGGACTTAATGACCAGCTGAGAAGGATTCGGCAGGGCAGGTTTCCCTCGTACAAGAAGGACCTGAAGAATTTGACTCTGGGGGCTCATGTGAGCCTGAGCCTCGCCGAGCGGAGGGTCTTGGCTCAGTCGCTGGAAGAGGATGGCCAGGCCCCCCAGGGAGTTTCAGGTCCTGCTACTGTTGGCTCCGCGGAGGGCTTCGCCCCGCGAGAGCAGGTTTTGGATTCGTTCGGCCTGGCAGAGTCGGATTTACCCTGGGTCAAGGACCTAGGGGCCGCCTCCCTCCGAGCCTCGGACTGCGGTTTCGAGTCAGACTCGGAGGCCTCCGATTTTGGCTGAACGAGGAGGTGTTCTGGCTTTAGGCCCGTCCCCAACAACCTCCTCCCCCTCCTCCTCCTCCTCCTTCCCCCTCCCCCTCCCCCTATCACCCTCCGCCTCCGCCTCCCTCCCCCTCCCTCCTCCTCCTCCTCCTCTCCTCCTCCCCTCCTCCTCCTCCTCCTCCTCCTCCGCCGCCGCCGCCGCCGCCGCCGCCGCCGCCGCCGTCGCCTCCGCCTCCGCCTGCGCCTGCGCCTCCGCTCCGCCCCGCCTCCGTCTCCTCCTCCTCCTCCGCCGCCGCCTCCCTCCTCCTCCTCCTCCTCCGCCTCCTCCTCCTCCTCCTCCTCCTCCTCTTCTCCTCCTCCGCCGCCGCCTCCTCCTCCTCCTCCTCTCTCCTCCTCCTCCTCCGCCTCCTCCTCTTCTCTCTCATCCTCCTCCCTCCTCCTCCTCCTCCTCCTCCTCCTCCTCCTCTCTCCTCCTCCGAATCCTCCTCCTCCTCCTCCTCCTCCCCTCCTCCTCCTCCTCCTCCTCCTCCTCCTCCTCCTCCTCCTCCTCCTCCTCTCCTCCTCCTCCTCCTCCTCCTCCTCCTCCTCCTCCTTCCGTCGACCCATCGAGCCGAGCCCAGCTAAGGCCCTGGGAGCGCCCGGGAAGGCGCCCAGGAGCTCCCAGGAGCCCGAGGCGGGGAGCTGTGCATGTCCATCTCCTGGGGAGCCGTTTTTGGGGGGCCTCGAGCGAGCGAGGGGCGAGAGGGGGAGCTTCGCGGTTCGAACTTCGAGGCTCTAGGTTTTCCGCCGTTTTCGTAGTTCCTTGGCGGTTCTCCGCCCTCGGGATGCGTTCAAGCGGCTGCGCCTCGCCAGGGACGTTCCGAGGGTGCCCCGATCGTCCCGAACGCCCGCCGGAGACCCGAGTTATGACCCAAAAACCAAATTCGATGGCGAGCGAAGGGGGGAAGTGAGAAGGAGAAGGCCCTCTCAGAAGGCGGTGGGGCTCCTCGGAAGACCTCCAGCCTTCTGAGAAGATTTCTGTGTCTTCGGGGAAACCTAGAAAAAACTTCTCAGAAGGCCAGGGAATTTCCGAGCCTTCTGAAAGGCCCGCCCCTTCTCGTTTCACCCCAGGGCTCGCCGCCGACAGGAGCAAGAGGTGAGGATAACGATACGTTTCAAGATGTCCAAGGCTTCCAGGGTTCCCCATGGTTCCTGATGTTCCGCACGGGCTGCGCCGCTAGATATTCCTGGAAATCCTGGAAGGCATCTTGAGCCAATCTTATCATGGCAGCATTCTCGCTTTGCTCGGGGGGGGGGGGACATGGATTCCGGGGCAACGTTAGGGGGGGATGCATGGACACCCGATCGCCCATTCATCGCCGATATAGGCCCGACAGCCCACCCCGCGCAGGAACGTGCGATTTCGCTACGGGGAGCCTGTCACCGATCTATCGGCGATGCCTCGCCGACTCCACAGGTCGACGCTTCCGCCACTGAGCTGGTCTCCCCCGAACGTTGCCCCTCGTGGGCATGTTCGGGACCCCAGGTGTCCGAAGGATTCTATATCTAGATATATATATATATATACACATTTATATATGTATATATATATAGAGAGAGAGAGAGAGAAACAAAAGCAAAAAAAACGAAAGAGAGAGAGAGAGAGAGAGAAAGATGAGTCCACTGCCCCCAGGGGGTGATAGGACATCGTCTCCCGAGGCGGTGGAAACGTAGGAGTTCTGGCCTCGAACAGAAGATCCGCCCCCCTAAAGAGTTTCTGCACACTGGATCTGGAAGACTGAGGAGCCTGAGGACCTTCCCCTGCTCATCCTATGATACAAGTACGGACGTGGTATCGCACAGCTGAGAACACAGTTGTAGTGTGAGATCAAGCAACCACTAAAATCACGAGGTAACTATTCAGAGGATGATTTAGCATCCACCCTGTCCCTCTTCTCGCTGTCTAGGCGTCTATTCTGGTGTGGCGTTGCACCCTTTCGCAGTGGCAGGCTGCCCCTTACCGAGGCCTAGTTGGCATCGGGCTCCCCCCTCTCCCCAGTCTATCCCTAGCCATGTTGGCTCAGGCGGACAGCGGGGACATTGCGAGCTGCGAGCTGTCGCCAATTCGCGGAGGCGGAGAGAGCGTCAGGGAGTTGCAGAGAGCGCCAGAGAGCCCCGTGGAGCACCTAGGAACGCGCTGGGGGGCCTGGGGACGCTTGGGGGCGCCTGGGAGCCCCTGGGAGCGCCACGCAGGACCTGTCACGGTGGAGATCGAGTTCCACGTCCCCGCGAAGGGAGAGCTCCTGCGCGGCACAGGCGCCACCGCCTGCGCGGTGGCCAAGTACCCCTTGGTGGCCTCCCGCGTCGCGGCGGCCATCACGGAGCGCCTGAGCGCCATCGGCGTGGAGCACCAGGTGTTGCTGAACCCAGGCTTCCCCGGCACCCCCCTGCAAGGGCGCCAACGCTCGGAGGCGCCCGCGAGTGCCTACCCGCGCCCCGGAGCCTTCGAGGTGACCCTGTCCCTCGAGGGCGGCCCCGACGCTGGCGAGCTGGCGGGCCTGCAGCTGTGGTCCAAGCTCCGCACGCGCGCCTGGCCCAGCGCCGTGGCCATGGCCGACCGAGTGGTCGACTGGCTGTGGCAGCGCCGCCGCGCGGCCGCGTCGGCGCCCAGGCTGCCCCGCGCGCCTCGCCCCGCGCCCGCCGCGGCGAGCCCCGCGCCGGCCGCGGCGAGCCCCGCGCTGGCGCGGGCCGGCCTCCGCCCCGGCGCTGGCCGCGCGCCGCCGCCCCGCCGCGGCAGCCCCGGCGCGGGCCGCGGCCGCCGCGCCACGGTGGCGCAGCCCGCTGGCGCGGGCCGCGGCCGCGCCGGGGACGCCCCCCGCGGACCCCCGAGCGGCCGCTGCGGCCAGCAGCCCCGGCGCGGCCACCCGGCCGCCGTGGCCGCGGCCTGGCCGCGGCCGAGCTGGGCGGCGCGAGGCGCCGCCCGGGCGCGGAGCGCCCGCCGTGGGGCGGCGCGGTGGCGGCGGCCGCGCCGCCTCCGCGGCGCGCGCGCGCGCGGCCGCCGGGCTCCAGGACGGCAGCTCTCGCCAGGGGCTGGGCCAGGGGCTGGGCTCGGGCAATGAAGGAATCACGGCGGGAGGTTTTGCACAATTTTCAGCCTCTGGGGGCCCTGACCGGGCCTCAGGGCCATCGAAAAACGACTCAGGATGCGAAACCGGTCCCGGGGAATAGGTCGAAACCTCTTGGGGTCGACGTCCTGAAAAATCAGGGTCTGGGAATTAAGTCGGGCACACAGAATGAAGTCGGGCATGTATGTCCTTCTAATTACGAGAGGAATCTTCAAATATAGTCAAAAAACAGTTTGGGGACGATTGTTCGATTATGTGCTGACCACTTGCGACTATGTTTGACCATTTGCTTTCCTCCAAAATCCGCCTGTGGGCGGACACGCCCGACCTAAACACAGAAGGTTCGCGCAGTGCCGACCAGCGGCGACCCCGCCGCCGGCGTTCAACGCTGCGCCGCCAGCGACCCAGGATCGGTCGATGTTGAACGATCTGGCGCTTCGGAAACGGCCGATCGTTCCAGGGCGTAGGTCGCCGAGGAGGAGGAGGAGGAGGAGGAGGAGGAGGAGGAAGAGGTGGAATAGGAGGAGGAGGAGGAGGAGGAGGAGGTGGAATAGGAGGAGGAGGAGGAGGAGGAGGAGGAGGAGGAGGAACAGGCGGGGTCAGAAACCCACGCCGAAGTCGGCACGACACGAAGCTGCTGCAAGCCTCCGGAGGCCCGCACGGAGTTTCTGACCCGGCGTTGGTCCCCCCTGGTGGCGCCGCCCTTGGCGCGCTGGGGCTCCAGCGCCGAGCCAAGAAGCCCGCGCCAGCCTCCGAAGATCTGTGACCAGGGCTGGACCTAAACGGCGTTTTGTCGATCTCGTGGGCCGTTTTCGTTTCGACTTCGTTTTGCTGTAGAGGTGGATTGAAGGCAAAACGAGGGAAAACGAAAACAAAACGAAAACGAAAAGCACCGTTTAGGTTCAGCCTGTGACTGTGCCTGCTTTATCTTCCTCTGGCTCAGGAGCTCCGGGGGCTCAAGGCCGACAGGCCGACACGTGCGCCCGCCGGTTCTCCTGGAGAGGCGTGGTGCTCGCGGGGAGCAGCCACCACGGGCTCGGCCAGGGCGGCGACAGCCGGCAGCAGGTGCTCGAGGTCGTGGGCATCGAAGATGACGGCGAGCCTCGTCGTCGGGGAGGAGGAGGACACAGGGGAACGAAGAACGACATAAGCATAAAAACTCGGAGGTCCGCGCGGATTTCTCGGGTCGGCGCTGGACCCCCCTCCCTGGCGCGCGGAGCGCGCCAGGGGCGGCGCTTGAGGCGCCGCCAGGGTGGTCCAGCGCCGATCCGAGAAATCCGCGCGGACCTCCGAGTTTTTATGTTTATGTCACTGTTCGTTCCCCAAGGACATGCTGAGCAGTCTCGCCTTGCACGTGCAAGTGCACCATACTGGTCACTGCTGCGCAGGCGACGGAAACATCCCGAGGGCGTCCATGGACTGGGACTCGAAGATGACAGCGAGCCTTGTCGTCGGGGAAACGTTGAGCAGTCCCGAGCTGTCCAAGGCAGGGCCCACTTTGGAGCTCAGCACCAGCGCTCTCAAAACCCTTCCGGCCTGCGAGCCGCAGCCCCTGACCCAGACCGAGGGGAAAGCAGGCCTCTGATGGCCGCGCCTGGCCGCCTCCGCGGGCGGGCGCGTGCAGTGCGACGACGCCGTGGAACCGCCGCCTCCCGGAAAGCGCCCGCCCGCTCCAGGCGCTGACAGTGTTGCCTGGCGCGCGCCGAAACACCGGCGGTAGGCAGGCCGCGCTGCCCGGCGAGGGAGTGAGAAAAGAGTCGCAGGCCTAGAGGTTGACACCAACACCAACATCGGCCGCGCACCTCCACCGAGGGAAGGAGATCCCGATCGGGCGGCAAGGTCCTGGCTTCCAAGGTGGCCGAAGTGTTACCACCAGCACCGAAATCTGGGATCATCTCCCCCCTTGTGGAGGCAGCCCCCTGTGGTGGTGCTGGGGCCCATTTCCAGGCCTCCTACAGAGAAGGGGAGGGGGAGGGGGAGGACGAGGACAGAACAAACCGAGCGCGGGCAGCGAGCGGGAAGGGGGGGGGCCGGCAGCCGCAGGCGCAGCAGCGTGCAAGCATGCCGGGGGCGGCGGGGCGAGAGGGTGGTCGTGGGAGTGGCCGCGGTCCCGGTTTGTACGTGCCCTTGCAAGATGCTGACCATTGGCTGCGCAGCAGACGAGAACACCTGACGGCAGGGCACTTGTGCCGCCAGGAAAGCGGGCGTTGCACACGCTGTGTTCCGTCCGTCCCTTCCCCCCCCCCATCCCCTTCCTCATCCCCCTCCGCCTCCTCCTCCGCCTCCGCCTCCTCCTCCTCCTCGTCATCATCAGCAGCAGCACCGTCATCTTTCTCCCCTTTTCTCCTCTTTCTTTTCTTTCTCCTCTTTTTCCTCCCCCTCCTCCTCCTCCTCCTCCTCCTCCTCCTTCTCCTCCTCCTCCTCCTCGTCGTCGTGGTCGTCGTCGTCGTTTCTCCTCATCATCATCAACCTCCTCTTTCTCCTCCCTTTCTCTTCCTCCTCGTCCTCCTCCCTCAGGTTCCCCCCCCCCTCCCCCCTCACCCTGCTGCTACTCCTCCTGTTAATCCTCCCGTGTCATCCTACTGCCCCTTACGCCTCCGCTCCGCCGTGAGCTCTCGTACTCACTCC